CTGTGTTTTGTTGCTGGCTTTGGGCTGGACCCGTGTCTTGTTGCTGGTTTTGGGCTGGACACCCCTGTGTTTTTTGTTGGCTTTGGGCTGGATTGCACTGTGTTTTTGTCCTCGCATTCCAACTCAGTGGGCTACAGCTCTTTCGCGCTTGTGGGCTGGATAGCCCTTTCACACTTGTGGGTTGGGCAGGAGGCAAGGGAGAAGGTCAAGGGAGAGGGTGGCAAGGGAGAAGTGAAGATCAGTGCAGCTGAGGAGTGGAGGAGGTTACAGGGCCTAGGATGGGCTGCATATGGTCCTGGCCGGTGAGTGGGGTGTGGTGGACCAGGGGTGACGACTGGTCAGCCTGGAGCCAGCAGGAGCAGGAAAGCTGGGACTCCTCTGCTTGGGACTTGGAAGAAACTTGTTTAGTTTAGTGTTTCTTTCAACGTTTTAAGGAAGTGTGTGTGTGTGTGTGTTTTCTCACTCTGGGCTGGACAGCCCTCAGCCATTCAATATTTGGGCTGGACAGCCCCCCAACCTTTTAAGATAGTTGGGCTGGACAGCCCTGAAGGCTTCAAAACAAGGGTGGTTCTTCACACTTGGGCTGGACAGCCCTGAAGGTTTTGAAATCTGGGAAGACTCCACCTTCAAACTCTGCAGGGAGTGTGGCTACATGAGCTACCTCCCAAAGACCTCTGAAGTCAGGGCCCAGTTTGGGCTGAGGGGTTGTATGAGGGGAATCTGCGACAACTGCAGGAGTCGCAGGGCCAGGAAGGGCTTGGGAGATGCCTTGAAGGAGTTAGGCCATCTGTAGTGAAGTGTTTGATAGGCGTGTAGTTGATAAAAACAGTGTTTGTTAAAATTGTGTTTTGATAAATATGAAAAATTATGGGCTGGAAAGCCCTCCCAGGCCCAGGCCAGCGCAGAGGGTACAAATCCCTGAACCATCTTCAATGGGCTTCGGTCCATGGCAAAAACGAAGCTTTGCAGCTTGGGCTGGATAGGTTTTGTGTTTTTGGGCTGGATAGTCCCAAATTTCACATATGTTGAACTCTGAGGTTTTCTTTTGGTTGCTTTGGGCTGGACAGCCCCCAGGGTTTCTGTCACACTTGGGCTGGACAGCCCTGTGAACTTTGATGTGATTCCTTCACCCTTGGTATGGCTCAAGGGCTTTCATGGCTGGGCTGGACAGCCCTCAAGCTTTTGAGGGGGTGTATATGTAAGATGGCAGCCCATGTTTTGAAGGAAGGATTGATTATTTCATTTGGGCTGGACAGCCCGGTGTTTGTACGGCATGATTGAGTTTCATTTGGGCTGGATAGCCCAATGCTTTAAAGGGAGGATTGATTTTTCATTTGGGCTGGACAGCCCTCAGGATTTTAAAGGTGATCTTTTAGATCTGTGTGAGTTTGTTTTGATCTGGGCTGGAAAGCACCGAAAGGAATTTTAGCTCTGGGAGAGCCAGTTCAAATTGAAGTGATTGGGCTGGAGAGCCCATGGAATATTTAAAGTGATTCAACTCACAGTTTCAAGAAGGACCCAAGAAAGTGTAGTAGTTGGGCTGAAAAGCCCATAGAATTATGGGCTGGACAGCCCATTGAATATGTAAAGTGGTTTGGCTGGATAGCCCGAGGTTGTTTTAAAATGTGAGCTGGAAAGCCCATGAAACTAAAAAACAATATGTCAAAAAAACAAAAATATTCAAAAAACAAAAAGAAATCATATGAAATCACATGAAATCCCATGATGTTCCATGAAATCCCATGAAATCCAATGATATCCTATGAAATCCCATGAAATCACATGAAATTATAGAAACTCAAATAAAACTGTGTTTCTCAGAAGTTTTTGGGCTGGAAAGCCTCTCAGAATCTGTTTGAACAAGCACATTTTGGGCTGGATAGCCTTTAACACTCATTGTGTATTTGCAGGAGTTTGCATAGCTCAAGCACTAGGTTCACATTAGCTGCTGGTAATGAAAAGGCCATCTGCTTTTCGCAAGCCTGCAGCCAGCATTCTGAAGAAAAAATGACGAAGAACCAAAAAATGAACCAGAAAAAGAAGAAGATGCGCCAGAAGAAGAAAATGGGCTAGAGGAAGAAAACCCAGAAGAAGAAGAAGAAGAAGAAGAACCGTCCAAAAGGAGCAAAAAACTGACAAAAAAGGCGCTGGAAGATCACCAAAAGAAAAGATATGGGCTGGATAGTCCCACAGAAAAGATATGGGCTGGATAGCGCCAAAGAAAAGATATGGGCTGGACAGCCCCAAGGAAAGGATCTGGGCTGGACAGCCCCAAAAGAATATGGGCTGGAAAGACCCAAAAGAATATGGGCTGGCCAGCCCCAAAAGCATATGGGCTGGATAGCACCAAAGAAAGGATATGGGCTGGACAGCCCACACCAAAAGAAAGGATATGGGCTGGACAGCCCACACCAAAAAAATATGGGCTGGATAGCTCCAAAGAAAGGATATGGGCTGGACAGCCCACACCAAAAGAATATGGGCTGGATAGCTTCAAGGAAAGGATATGGGCTGGGGCCAAGGCAATGGGCATCAAAAACAATGAAGAGAGGAACAAAGACAAACCCAAGGCTGACAAGTGGGCCCAATTGAGTGAAATTGGTGACAAGACCAAGGCTGGGGAGATTGAAGAGAAACTTATTAAAATTCAAAACAGAAATTTCCAAAAGGACATGGCTGCACTTGATGCTGGTGCCTTTGCCTTGAACAAACAGAATGGTGAGAAAGTCCTGCTGAAGAATGTGAAACTGGAGAACAAAAAAGGCTTCTGAGTCTTTGGATGAACTGGCCAAACTCATGCCCGAGAAAAATGTCAAAAAGGACATGGCGGTGCCTGCCCTCACAAAGGCACTTTCCACTCTCAAAGAGCGCAAGGCTTTGAAAAGCAGCAGGGCTGTATAGGCTGGACAAGCTTCATGGGCTGGATAGCCCCAGGGCTGGACACAACAAATATAGGCTGGACAAGCCTCATGGGCTGGATAGCCCTAGGACCTTTAGATAAAGGCTCAAGTAATAACCTTCAAAAGTATCAAACATGGTCAAACATGTCAATCAAACACAGAATTTTCGATTGAATTTTCGATTGAATTTTTGAAAAATCGATTGATTTTTACATATTTTCAAGCGGCGCTTGAAATTTTCAAGTGCGATTGAATTTTTTCAATCTAGGATGCTCTGGGAAAGCAAATACTGCATAATCTATCACTCATGCGCATGTAGTACGGTCCATGCTTAGCGCACGAAATGGCCTTACCAAATCTAAGGTCTTCTGGTTCGAAAGTCATCTCACTGTGACTGGTCAAAAGGCTCATCATCACCAATGGCGGCGGAAGCAATGGGCGTAATGGTCATAGCGCTCTGGGCCGTGGAGGTTCTTGACTGTGCAGGTGGAACCTCGGGCATGGACTCTGCAGGTTCTGGTAGTGCTTGCGGCTCAGATCAGCGTGGTCGCATATTTCGACCTTGGTTGTCTGCTTCGTAAGTAATGTCAGAGGCAGTACTTGTGCGATCATAATTTGTCTTTCTCCCAATTGAGTCATCTTCTGGTTCATCTTCTTCTTCCTTCACGGCAGTTTGTGAACCTTCTTCGACCTTCATGGTTTCTTCTTCTTCTTCGTTCTTCATGGCTGCCATGGCTTCTTCTTCTTCTTCACCAGATGGACCGTCCTTCATAGCGTCTCCTTCTTCTTCATCAGATGGACCGTCCTTCATTTCTTCATCGTCGTTCTTGAACTCTTTCTTCGGCTCACCACTGGCGCCTGGTCCTTGATCATCATCATCGTCATCTTGATCTTCTTGGTCATCTTCGGGATCTGCATCATCAGGTCCTGAGCTCTCTGGATCACCCTTCTTGGCCTTCTTCTTCTTCTTTTTTTTCTTCCGCTCTTCTTCCTCTTGTTCTTCCTTGGTAAGCTTCGGCACAAATTCCAGTGGACTTAACTCTGGAAGTTCCTCAGTTTGTACCTCCGAACATGCATGATGGAAACGACTGAGGCATCATCAGTTTGCGTGAACTTAAAGCGATCATCGTGTGCCTCTGGCTCATCAACATCGGTCTTGGCGTCTTGTTCTTCTAAATTATGGTGTTCTGCAATCAGCGCTAA